TACTAGTGTTAGCTGCCTCACCACCTGGGAACTGCCATATCACAGATACTGTAGTGCAGGTGTGAGGCCAGGATGTACTAGGGCACTGGTGATTGCCAAGACACCAAAAGGAAGTGCCGCACTAGTAATGGCACACTGTTGCATATGAGAACATGCGTTTCTAGCCCCTCAGTTACCTGGGGTTGGGTATACTTTATTTTGGGTGATAAATTTACAGGTAGTTGGTGCAACTCGCAGGAAAGGGCTCCTTGCTGTCTGGGACTGCTTGCACCACTAGAAATAAAATTTACCTGCTAGTGCTAGCAGAGATCAGTCCTGATTCTAGTGCTGTTTTGACATTGCACATTGTGGGCAGAGGGGCTCAACACAGGTGCTGACAGGTATTGTGGCTGATCCTGCTAACGCTGTGTTTTTGGGGACACTATACTAAGGGGGTTGCTAGTGTAGTTTGTGATCATATTAATCTGTACACACTGTACTAGTAATGGCAGTGATTAGCAACAGACAGCGTGAGCGTGTGCTGACAATCCAACGCTAACTGACCCTGTTGCTATCTGATGTGATTGTAATACAGTAACGAAAAATACTGTGCATTGGCTGTGTCAGGTGATCAAAGGATTACATGTGCTTAAATAAGGTGTGTGTATATGCTACTTTTACTGATTGTGGTAGTCTCTCCTCTTCCTGGACCGAAAAGGGTCCAAGAAGAGATCCTGTCTGCATTTACAAATACAGGCACAGGGGCGATCTGTCATTGGCTGCAGGCGATCAGCAGGGTCCCTGGCAAAATCATTGGCCAGTACACTTACAAACCTGTCCAGCAGCCAATGACTGCAGCAGTTACCAGGGCCAGTTGCTGTGCCTGTACAGGCTGCTTGTTCGCAGTGGTGGGGGCTTTGACCTTAGCGTCCCCTTGTTAACCACTTGCTGTCTTGAGCCTTTACACACACAAATTGAACTTTCTTCTGGTGTTTGATCGCCTGTGCGTGTTTATTTTTTTGCACTATAAAAAGACAAACCATTTTGAGAACATTTTTGAGTTTTTTGCTATTAAACCTGTCCAGTAAAAAAATTTTAAATCAAATTTTACCATACATTTACAAAGTGTATTCTGCTACATATCTCTGCTAAAAAAAAAAAAAAAAAAAAAAAATCAATACGTGTAAATTGGTTTACGTGAAAGTTATAGCGTTTACAAATGGTGTGTGTATACTGCAATTTTATTTTTTTAACTAGTAATGGTGGCGATCAGCAACTTGTTGCAGGACTGCGGCAGACACATTTTGACACTGGGTGGGAACTGACTTGGTGTCAGACATCCCCAGTGACATCAAAACAAAGATCGGTGCTAAAAAAGAAAGCTGACACTGTACTAATGGTGATGAGCAGGAAGGGGTTAACATGAGGGGCAATCGGTTAACTGTGCAGGGAGTGTGTTTTTACTAGGAGGCAGTGTAGGTGTGCTTCACTGTGCACAGCCATCCAGAGCAGTGTGCCCGAGCTGTCAGAGGACTGTTGGTAAACAAAACAGTCCTCCCCGTCAGATCTTCGGAAATCACCTGGCGCCGGTGAGTAATTACCAGCTGGGACCCTGTGATAGACAGTCGGCCACAAATGGTGGCACGGCTCGTGTGCCCCCTACCCGGAAATGCATAATCGTGTGTACATTGTGCGCTACAGGGTGGCACGGGTGCGCAAATCTCCAGGCCAGGGTTATGGCAAAGTGGTTGTCTTCAACATGGGGACAAGGTGCTTTGCAGGGTGGGGGGTTCCCCATATTGATGGCTTGTGACCTGCTATGGTTCAGGAGTGGGTGTATGCTCCCCCCTTTCCTGGCCTGCTGGGGTGCATGTATTTTGGGGACCTTGCTTAGTCTGGGTCCAGTATGGATCTCACACCAAAAACCAAAGGACTGTGGGGGATCTGCACGCAGTTTTTGTTTTTTTTGTTTTGTTTTTTTACACATCTGCTCTGTTTACATTCTATCAGTAGGGAATCGGGGATGAGATGGATGTAAGTTGAATCCAGTTTTTCTATGCATAAATGTGACTGAACAGGTGACTGAAGTAGTTTTTTTTTTTTTTTTTTTTTTGTTTTTGTTTTTTTTTTCCCTAACCTTCCAGTGTCTAGTCTTCTAATTGCACTAATCCCACAAGGTTTGGGAAGTGTCTGAAACAAAACCAGCACTGTTTATATATGAGCCTTAAACAGTTCAGTCATTTTTAGAGCCTGGCATGAATCCTTTTCGCTGCCATATTTACTAGGATTTATGGTGTTCCTAGAATGGGGTTAATTCCTTGTATGAGAGCGCAATACACATGGTTAAAGGATAAGGTGCATTGACTGTAGATGTGTTATTCCCATATGGTTTGGCATATTAAGTCAATATTTTTTCTTGCAGAAAGATGATTTAGGAAGAACAAAGGATTGTTGGGGATGCCCTTCTGACACTCCAGCGCTTTCTACATGCAGCAATGCTGATATTTTCAGAAGGATAAATGCCATGTTGGACAACTCTCTGGACTTCACTGGTGTTTGTACCACTCCCAATGCCAAGGGTAAATGTGACCACCTGCAAGGTACACCTTTATGTGGGTATTACTGCTGTGCTTCTGTATGTATATGTAAAAAACTACTTTTATTGGTGGTATGCAATGTAAAGTGACTTGATTGTATGCAAAACATCAATGCTCTGAAATTGGTACTTCAGTATGGGTTGGCTGCCAACATGTAGAATGCCTCACTGGATTCTCATCACTTGAAGACTTCCAACAGATGTCTGCATTTGTCAGCTTTAATTTTTAATAGAGGCTGCCATAACAAACCTCTCAAAATGCTAGCGGTCTTGCTGATCCTGTAAACGCAGTGATCTTTAAGGTATGCAAATCAGGACTGCAGACTTTGCTTTTGACCTCACTGGCAGTGTTTTCTCAGGGCAAGTGACTCGAATGGAGAGACATTTTGACATTGGCAGTGTTGGCCCACAGGCTTTCTTTAAAGATGGTCTCTGGGCAAACTTCTGCATGTTGAAATTTTCCACTGTATAAACTGTTAACAAAATTTTGGTTCTAAAGCTGAAAATTTTTCCTTTTTTTAAAAGTGGCTTTAAAGGTAAGTGGGTTTTTTTTTATTTTTTTTTGTGGGGGGGGGGGGGGGGTGAGGTTTTGTTTTTACCCAAACCCTGTGAGCAGAGAACCGGAGGGGCAGGATCAAACTGAACTGTCTGAATAGATTCGCAGCCTGGCTCAGGATCAAGCCTGCTCAAGTGCCCCATAGCAAACAGCTTACTATGGGGGCATTGGAAAGGGAGAAGCCAAGAGCACCAGTGGGGGTACTCCAGAAGGAGTTTCAGAGCCATAAACTATTGGTATGCAATGTTTTGTAATTTTAATAGTAATTGCAAAGTGGTTTTTTTTTTTTTTTTTTTTTGGTGAAATTTTAGTCAAATTTGAAGTCCTGCTAGAGCACTTTAGGCTGGACCTGTTTGCAGGTATATTTATGTAAAACATTAAAAATGCCTATGCCGTTTAAAATCCAGTAATACTCTCTCTGCTTTTCATATGTTCAGTACCCCACACGTGAAGATGCTGTGTTGGTACAGCGCAATTAAAAAAAAAAAAAAATCTGACAACTTGCCTTTTCTCTACGGGTAGAGAAGCCCACTGAAATGGACTAGCCTACATGCAGTAGCACAGATGTGAACCTTAATTTTGGGGTGCTCACCTCTGTACCCCAAAACCCCTCTGCGCCATTATATACCAGATCCCTCTGCTCACCTCTGTACCCCAAAACCCCCTCTGCTTAACTCTGTACTAGATCCCCCTGTTTGCTCACCTCTACTCCTTACTTCATGATTTGGTTCATGTAACAACTATAAACTGATGCAAAAATGTAGACTGTCAAACTGAAGAGTGATGTAAACTGAATCTGTTTTTGGCAAAAACATGACTGGATGTTAATGTGAAAGGATCTCAACAGATCTTCAGCATTAAAAAAAAAAAAAAAAATGCATGCGCACTTCTCTGGAGTTCTAGAACTGAAGTCCCTTTTATTGCCAAGACAATTACCTTTTTGACTTCAAGCTGACTGTCATTGATCTTGACTTCTCAATTCCTGGAATAAATTTGGCCTGGAAAGTGAGGGCTATGGCTGCAGGATAAAGGTCTCCAATATATTTGCAGCAGCTCTTACCACTCAGTGGAGGGACCTCTGGGCAACTTTTAAATGTGTTTCAATCTGCAGTCCAGTTACTTGTTGGCAGAGAAACCTTGTACTGCCCATGAGCAGAGTGGAATGGAGTATTCCTAATTTTTAATATAAGGGGCTGTCTAGACAAGCTTGGACTAGACCAGACATATTCAGCATTTACAGCAGAAGTAGGTAGATAAAATATTCAGGCCATGCATGGGAGCTGACGCTGGCTTCAAGTGGTTCAGTAAAAATATTTTTCTTAAATAAATTTAAATGGTGGACCATTGATTGCTTTCAGATATTTCTGTAAAAGCTTGCCTTGCTACTCCCTGGTAAACAGTGCTACATACACCAAGTTCCTGTCTGTATTCCAAGCAAACAGATTATGCTAGCACAATGATGAAGCCCAGCATTACTGCTGCTGATTCAGGCTTGGAGTCGATCCAGAACAATGTGTGGGAGGGGTGCTGGGGAGAGGGATGAAGGCAGGGCCACTTGAAGCAAAGTGTCTGCGTTATGTGTGCAGGAGACTGCTTATTACTCGGATAGCTGCAAAATCTATGAAAGTTTTTGCTTTTCTTATCCTCAGGACTGCATAATATGATGCTAAGACAATGATTCCTGCGCTCTCAACATAGCAGGCAAGGCAGAACACAAGGGTGTGGGTATTGATACTTCTGTTACACAACAGTGGATGGTACCTGCTGCAGGTGAAGATTTGTTTACTAGAATCATCCTGAAGAATTCTGATTTATTTTTTTTCTTTCTAAGCAGACTACCCAGATACAGAGGGAGCTACAGCAAGCAGGATGCTTTTCCCTACATCTCATGATCCATCCCCTCGTGGCCTTCCTGACACAAACGACTTGTGCCTTGGTCTGCAGTCCCTCAGTCTGACTGGTTGGGACAGACCATGGAGCACTCAGGACTCTGATGTTTCAGGGCAGTCTAGCACACCATCAGCAGCCCAGTCAGGTAAGATGCTGTCTGTATAGTTGAAAGAAATCTAGAAGACAGGCTTGCTTGATTGGAATACTGAAATGAAATCATATCTCTGCAGCACCTAAAGTTCCTGAATGCATTAAGTTGAAAATCTATAAAACTTGTTTGTTCCCTGCATTTATTGTAAAACGGGAGGCTGTCTGACTCTAGGCTGTCTACCTTTATTTAAAGCCAGTTTGCAACAGTGCAGAATGTTTGTAGCATGGTTTTAAAATGCTAGGGAAAGGCAAATACCAGAAATTTCTAGCGTAGTGAAATGCATGCACAACTGAAGTGCATTACCTTCCATTCCCCATTTTAGGGACCCGATGGCCTAACAGCTTGTCAAAGTCATACTTGTATAGGGCTGACAATGTATTCTTGCTGTCTGCTATGGGTGCAGGTTGCTATAAAACCTCTAGATTAAGGAGCAGGCTAGTGCAATGCTTATAATTAACCTCTAGAGGTTTTTAAATCTAGAATTTCTGCTTTTAATGTTGGCCCATATGCTGTCAACCATATCAAATGTGTGTTCACACAAGTGTTCTTGATTTTTTGGCCTATGCCAATCTGGCTGTACTTTGCATTGTAAGAACTGCACCTGGCCACCCCAGTTCAAGTTGTTTAAGTCAACAGCATTTGATCAAAGATCAGGATGGGTGGCCGGCTCAAATGCATGATTACCCTAATGGATTGTGTGGTACAGTAGACTTGGTAACCATAACTTTTGCATTCGAATCTTTGACTTTAATGGTTTCTCTGCAGTGTTTACTAAATGTTTTCTGTGATAATGTATATTGATACCAAAAGCATATGGAGAGATGCATCAAGTCAATGTTCGTATTAAAATAAACTACTTTTGCATTGAACAGAAATGGCCTTGTACACGTTTGCAATGCTGCTTATACTTGGTCCCTATGAGGTTAAGGGAAATGTGATTTAAAGCAGGTTGCTAGGTTTGCTCACTATTATCACAAATATATTCCTGTCATCTTGCAGTTCAAACTAATGTTACTTGTGAAGCTATGAATGTGACTCAGCTTGTGTGGTTCCTATGCTTTGAACAGGCCATAGCCTGTTCAGGCCAGAAAGGCAGCTCTTTAAAGGATCCTTCCAGAAATTCAAATTGCATGGTTATGTCTTAAAGTGATGATAAAAGACAATTTAAAAAAATACATAATTTTTTTGAGCTGCTCTGAGCAGTGGTTTTACAGCATAGCCCCAATTCTCCTTGGGTCCCCCTGTTGGTGCTCCCGGCCCCTCCCTGCTGAGTGCCACCATAGCATGCAGCTTGCTATTGGGACTGCTGAGCTGATGCTCTGTGTGCACTCAGAGCACGGCTTGGCCCCACCCCTCTCCTCATTTCCTCACTGGCTGTAATTGACAGTAGCAGGATGACCAATGACTCCTCCTGCTGTCTCAACCAATGAGGGAGTCCCAGGAGAGCCTCTGCTCTTGTGCACATTGCTGGATCAGGATGGGTCTGAGGTAAGGGGGGGGGGGGGGGGGGGCGGCTGCACAGGGTTGTGGTGGGGGTTTTTTTTAACCTTCATTCATGCATAGAATGCATGAAGGTAAAAGCCTTGAGCCTTTACAACACCTTAACATGCCAGTTTGAACTGCCTTAATTTAGCTAGAACATCAGATATTTTGCAAAGAAATTCTGGCCTACCACAGGTGTTTGTTTCATTTATGGTAGGATTCGAAGTTGCTTTCTTTCAAGTCACACATTTTAGTGCCTAGGGCCTTCTGGAGAATAAATCTGCCACTATTTTAACTCATGTCTACCAAACATCTGAATACTTTAAAATGTCATCTAAACTTGGTTAATTCAATACAATATTGAAACACCATTAATTGCTGATGCTCTTAAAGCCAAGTCAGTTTATACATTTCAACAGTAATTTACCAATTTGATTTGCTTTGTGTTCACCCCCCCCATACACACTGTTGGACAGCAAGGAAGGTAGCTTTCTGCTGCTTTGTATCCCCACCAAACCTATGAGGTATGAGCTACAATACAATGGTGTCCTTACCTCCTGTGCAGTATTTCCTTAGCGTTTCTAAACCCAGGACCCTGCATTCACGATCTGGTCACCCACAGTACACAACATGGAAATGCAATCATTTTAGTAAATATAAACTGCTAAATACCTTTTCTTAACAGCAGTTGGAGCAGTCTTGTGACTTCTATCAGTGTCCAGCAGAACACTGGTTAAAGCTTGTAGGAGTTTTCATTCTGACTATGCTGAGGCTGCAGGACCCATGACCTCCTGGACAGTGCAGATTGACCCTGTGATGACTACATGCACTCTCCCAAGAAACTCTAGCAGTACACACCAAACATGAGCATGCAAAGCTTGCCCCCCCCCCCCCCCCCCCCGGCAAAGCTGTTCTATTGGGAGATGAAATGGGGGCAGTAGAAGGGGTGGATCAGAGAAGACAAGGTAAAACCTTTTACACAACACAGTGATTAACCCCTTAGGTCCCAAAGTGTGTATAACCAGCATGCTTTACTGCATATACAGACTGATTTTACAGTTGTGGACTAGTAACACTTTAACATCCCCCCTTCAGACCTTTTGTGCCTGAAACATGTTGGGTAATCCATACATTGGACTCTATACTGGTCATCTTGTGCATCGGTCAGTAGCAACCAGTGAATGGCATAGTGGGAAAACCCATTGATGCATGAGTCAAAAGTTCAATGTTTGTAACTGGAGCACTCCAAGGCAATGTTTCAAGGCCTTTGAGTCCTGAGTTTCCAAACAAATGTCACTTATGAATGTGTGCTGGCAAGTATTCCTTCCATATCTTGACCCAAGCCAGGGTGACAGAATTGTGCTGTACAGGAACACATAATTGGCTCAGTGCTGTCAGTAGCTCCATCTATGCTTGAGTTGTGAATGTTGGTCACCTGTCATGATAGAAATATGGGGCCACCTTTTCCTGATCCTGAAATGCTAGCTGCCTTGCTGCAGTACATTTTACCCACGGACCCAGAACCAGCAATTGGGTTTATACCTGTTCTTTGTCAGTGTCCAAGCCATGAAGCTAACAAATCATGACAACTAAGACTATAGTTCTCATGTCCGCAATGGAAGCATACATCTACTGTATGACATCTGAAAAATACACATGGGTTATTGCTAACACAGTGAAGACAGTTTGTTTTATCCAGCTGTATTTACTTGGTGTTTTCACTTGAATGTTATAAGTTGCACTAATGTCGGGAAAAAAACAATCATGGAGTTGAGGAAAGGATTACCTAGTGTCAGTATATTGAACCACCTTTTTGCTTTAATTACAGCCTTTAGTCTGTTAAGATATCTCTACTAACTTTGCACATCTAGACTTTCAATAGTTGTCCACTCTTTGCAGAACTGCTAAAGTTCAGCTAGATTTGATGACTGGACTGCAGTCTTCGCCGTTCCACAGAATGGGGTTTAAATCTGGGCTCTGACTAGGCCATGCAAGGACTTCACACTTTTCTCCAACCACTGTGGTCATTTTTGCTGTGTGCTTTAGGTAATTGTCATGTTGAAAGGTAAATCTCCCTTCCCATTGACTTTCTGGCAGAGGGCAACAGATTTTCCTCAAGAATTTTACAGTATTTTGCCCCATCCATTTTTCCTTCTATCCTGAAGTGCTCCAGTCCCTGCTGCAGAGAAACATCTCAATAACAGGATGTTACCACCTCCATGCTTTACTGTAGGAAGTTATTTTATATGGTAAGCTGTATTTGATTGCCGCCAGTTTAGTGTTGAGGCTAAATTCTTTAGTCTCATCTGACCAGAACACCTTTTTTCCATGTGGCCTCCAGAATCTTCAAGGTTGTGTTTTGGCAAAGCTCAGTTGTGACTGCATGTGGCCTTTGGCTTTTTCTAGCAACCCATCCATACAAGCCACATTTGTGGAGAATATGGTATATGATCACATGGCACACAATGACCACTTTGTCGTAAATTCCTGCAACTGCTTCAGTTGCTGTAGGCCTCTTGGTCGCCTTTGACCAGTTTCCTCCTGGCTCTTTCATCCAGTTTAAGGCAATGCCCTGAACAAGGGAGGGTCTGTTTATACCAAATACCTTCCAATTAAGACTTCATTGTGCTTCTAGGCATTGTTAAAGCCTTTTGAATTTTTTTTTTATCCATCTCCTGACTTGTATGTGTCCAACTGTATCCCAAGAAATCTTTGACAGTGCCTTGCCACCCTTAATTGTTTGCTTCAGTTGCACTACTAGAAGCTGAAATGCTTCAGGAATGCTTTTTATGCTGAACTAATCAAAATGGCCACAGCTGATCAGTTGAGTCAAATGGCTGTGTGCCATTGAGCAGGGGACTAGCTACACCCGAGTTTACAAAGTAATTTTTTTTGGGGGGGGGGGGGGGGGGAATAGTTTTTCCAACTCAGTAGCTCTGGGTTTTTTTTTTTTATTTTTTTGGCATGTTGGTGTTGTACCTTTCACTTGGATGTTATGAGTTGCAGTGAGTAAATAAAGCTGGATAAAATGGCCTGCCTTCATTTCAGGCTGCAAAGGAACAATGTTTCTATACCCACTGTAAGCATCAATATTGTGCATGGGGAGGGGGTAGATTGAGGCCATTATAGAACACCACTTTTCTAGGAAGGCTTACTAAAAGATTTGAGTCAGAATTTGTGCCCATTCAGCCAAGAACATTTTTTTGAAGTCTGTTACTGTCTGTACTGATGTAATGAAGACCTTGTTTGCCGTTGATAACCTTTGGGATGAATTTAACTCCATATAATGGAGACTATTCAAAGGGTTTCCCAAACTTCTGGTAGAATGGGTACCGCTAAAGTCTTGCATCCAGTTTATGAAAGGTTTACAATGGTTGTGATGTGTAACAGGTAGTTCTTTGTCACTAAGGCTGCAGCAAATGCAAAATATTGCCTCCCAGTTCCTAGATATCAAACCTGAAAGTAATTAAGACCAAACTCTTTAAGAGCTCATTCAAGTATCAATACCGTGT